TTTTGACATTTGTTACAAATTAATTATTGAATTGTCAGTGTTTTGCGTACCCATAGAAAAATGAAAGTGGAGCAAAGATACGCGATAAAATTTTGTGTTCGATTGGGTAAAACACCAACTGAAACTTTTGAAATGATTAAAGGTGCATGTCTAGATAATAGTTTATCACGATGTAGAGTGTTTGAGTGGCATAAAAAGTTTAAAGACGGTTGTGAATCAGTTGAAGATGAACCTCGTCCCGGTCGACCACAAACTGCGAGAAATGACACAAAAATTGCAGAAATTAACGACTTGATACAAAATGATCGCCGGATTGGCATAAAACGAATTTCTGACAATGTTAATTTGTCTTACGGTACCACTCAAAAAATTATTCATGAAGATTTAGAGTACCGGAAGATCGTGGAAAGATGGATTCCAAAAGTGATGACCGATGAACAAAAAGCGAATCGAGTGACAATTTGTCAGCAGTGGAAAAGGCAATTGCAACGTAACCCACAGTTTTTAAATAATGTGGTTACATGTGACGAAAGTTGGTTTTATCATTACGATCCTGAATTGAAGTCTCAAAGTATGCAATGGAAGCATAAAGGCAGCCCAAGACCGCAGAAGGCCAAAACTGCTAAAAGCGCTGGTAAAGTGATGCACCTGATTTTTTTTGATAAATTTGGCGTTATTTACGATCACATTGTACCTAGAGGACATACAGTAACAGGGGAGTACTATTCTAATGTACTTCGAGGACCCTTAAAGGCAAAATTAAAGAAAAAAAGGCCGCTTTATCAGGACTTTGGCTGGACGCTGCATCACGACAATGCTCCGGCTCATAGATCAATGATTTGTCAACGAACAATTGAAAAATTAGGGGTTGAATTTATGGTTCATCCCCCCTACTCTCCTGACCTTGCTTCATGTGACTTCCATTTATTTCCTGAAGTCAAAAAAGAATTGAGAGGTAGAAGATTTGAGTCGGATTTAGAGCTAAACAACGCTGTGATGGGTATACTAAACAGACTATCAAAAAATGGTTTCTCAGAAGTTTATGATAAGTGGATAAAGCGATGGAATAAGTGTATTCAACAGAATGGAGAGTACTTCGAAGGATAGTTGTTGAATTTTTTTAAATAAATGTTTCGTTGTTATACTATAGCACCAGTCTCGTTATTTTCTGATACATCCTCGTACTACTTTCAGTTTACTTAGGTGTCCTTTTAGTCGGCAATGCCCGGTAAGGATCCTTGTTACAATACGTAGCCTGTTCTTGCTCAGGCAGATGCAGGCTTCCGATCTTTTCTGGTTATATTCACCCAGAAGTATCTTGGCCTGTCTCAGCCCCAAGAGATTGTTCCAATTATCGGTTATTCTAGTACTCAATTATTTTTTAATCTCTCCTAATATTATGTTACTGCTGTTGTTTTATTGTAATTATTCAATTATCTACCATTCCAGTAACGATATTTTTTCTTTGTTTTTTTTTTAGATACCAGATGATTTTGAAAACTGTTCATTTTTTAAATGATGGATAAACCTTTACATATAAGTGGGTAGTATCACACAAATGTCTCCACAGTTCTTGTTATTCACTGATTCTACAAAAAAAAAAAGAAAAACAAAACAAAAAATGTTGACTGGAAAATAAACTTCTACTAGAGGCATTTTTCATCTCTATTTAATAAACATACACTGGATCTTCAAGATACAGCAGCAATTTCTGACATTGCCCCCTTCGGTGAATTTAAAATGAGCCTACTATAAGTTCGAAGGTGTATATCCTAAAACCCCTTCTGCAAGAACCTGCCTTGAAACCCCCTGAAAGTTTTGAAGATAGTGAAGTTTGTCTGAGTCGGAAGAAACATATTTAGTATCTGATTCAGAGGGACTTAATAATGAGCAGGATCTTCAAAACCAATGAACTCTTAAAATTGAAAATAAACCGAAGGTTTATTTAGGATTGGCAAACAGTGTTTTTAAAATCATCAATATTTATGAGAAGGAAAGTGTAGCTTACATATATCTTTTACATTTCTGTGTGAATTAGTGGTATTTTTAACTTAAAAGAACTCATTTTGTAAGACTAAATACCAAATCACTTAATAAATTGTTTGTTTTTTTTTTTAATAATTTATCACATTCCAGAGATGATAATAATTATATATAAACAAAAATGTAAAATACCTGAGTAAGATAAACGAAGTAAAAACAATTTATTTAAAAAAAATAAAAAATATATACACAAGCCCTAACAATAATGGAGCTGTCAAATTAAAATGTCCTCTAAAGATTCATTATCAAATTCAACTTGTTTACGACTTCATTATTTACTTCAAATGTGGAGGAAACAATGCAAAATACTTTATGTTCATGTGTAATTATTTTACTGGGCAAATATCTTCTTTTCTCAAGTTATTCATGGGAAATCGCATTATCACCATATACTTGCTTGGCAGATCTAAAAATAATAAAATATTTAATAATGTGATGATTTTTTTAGTAGGTATTTTCAAGAGTACATTTTTATGGATTCATACTAGACATGTGTATAATAGTTGTAACAAGGGATGGGTGGCTCAGTGGTAGAGTCTCTGCCTGTGGATCCAAGGGTCCCAGGTTCGAATCCCACCGTCGACCGGAATTTTTTATTTAATTTCATTATTTAAAATTAATTCTGATGCCTTGGTAGGATTCCCCACTAGACCATTTACTGTTGGGTTATAATTAACAGGGCTGTTCCTAAAGTGGCGCTGGGAAACAGTAACAAAGCATATACAGAACACGAGGCTAATGACCTTAGCAGTCGATGCCAATGATACCAAATTAAAAAAAAAATAGTTGTAACAGAAAGAGTTTGTATATTTACAAAAAGTACTAATTCATTCACAAAAATGTACTTAGATATATTACAATTATTTACAAGACATATAACAAGTAGGTAATCCTTCACCAAATAAAAATAGTTATACAGTAAATACATGTGCACTACCCTTCTAAATAGTTTTAAATGTTATTTAGTTTTAATTTTTAAGGTAGGCAAATTGTATGAACTCGTTTTATACAATAACAAATTTGCTATTTCTCAGGTAATACATAATTATAATTTTACTTCTAATTATAGAAATAATAAAATATATTTTTCTTATAAATATAAATGAAGTAAAAGACAAAGGTAAAATGTTTATTTTTGAAAAATTGTTACTGTTCGACAACCCTAATGACCTGAGATAAATATGTTTTTACTATAAGGTGTATTGCTTCATATAAACTGTAACTACTATTAAAACAAATTATAAATAAAGTCTTACATACCTTTCTGTCTCTTATAAACTGAGTATTGTTAAAAAAATGCAGTAAAAAACTCAACTCAAACTCATTAATAATAAAATTAAACCAATTAGCAAAGACAGAAGAAATAAATCGATAATTGTGAAAAAAAGTATACAAAACAAAAAACGAATGTTAGGTTAGGTGGTGTCAATTTTAAGTGTCACTTAGATGTGCGTTCACTTCGACATTCTGAGTGTCGGTTTTGTTCGTTGGCTTGGTTTGAGATAACAAAAAAAACTTCGACACAAACTGATTGGTCTATTCCCGATGACGTACACATTTCAAATTTTAAATTTTAATTAGTTTTAATTTAAAAACTTTTGGCTTTTTTAACAAACTGATTATGTTATGTAGAATAACTTGTATAGCAACTAACTGTTACAATATAATTTATAAAACAGCATATCTCACATGTGAACATGGCTCATTGTCGATAGAAATTATAATTGATAGAAATTTAAAGAATTGTTAAAAGTAGTATAGAAGTTGAAGTTTAATAAGATACAAAGGAATTTTAATTAAAAGTATTATCATAGAAGTAAAATAAAGAGAGAGGTAGAGTCAGAACAGAGACAGACACTGCAGTTACAAGCAAAGATAACCAATCAAGAAGACAAGGACAATTTTTTTATTTTTCTTATTAGATGTAATATTTTAGATGCTTGTGTTTTGTATTTTATTGATTGGAAATCAGAAAACCAAAGGAAGCCATATCAATTTATACTCATAGGTACTGATAATAATAAAAGGATGCTCATTAAAATTTAAATGCCTTTACTCTTATCAAATTAAAAATAAAATAAAATAATTAAAAAATATAAAGGTCTAAACAACCTACTCTGGTATGAGTTGAATATTTGGAGTTTTAATATTCATTATTCAGAACTGTCAGTGTCACTTGTTAAATCTTGGACTAATATTTAAGGTTTTTTTTTTACTAAAATAAAGAATAATAATGTTGTAAAATGTTATACAAATAATCGTTTTTTTAAATATATTTTGCAACGATTTTTTTTCGAAATCCTTATAAATAAAGTAGTACTTCCTACAAAATTAGTAGTCTAGAACCTTGGTAGTATATCGAGGACGTCATATCGGAAGGGCGTATGAACCAGCAGGTAACTTTTTCAGGATACGCCTTTCTGATATTATAATTTTGCAAAATTGATTCATACGCCAAAATAAAAGTACTAAAAATAGGATGTTAATATTTAAGAAACCATTACGGCCTTCTGATATATCAAGGAGATTTATTAAATAAACCATAGGCACAAAAATCCTAAAAACGTCAATGCTGGCTCCACGACCTTTTGATACGACGCCCCCAATATGTAACAACAAAATAAATAATTTCTATAGGAAATACCCTTTTTTAGTTCATAGCATAATAAGTATTTTCCCAATATGCTTTTATTTTTTTATTTGAAAATAAAATAAAATAGATGCTACCCCCAAATTTTTTTGTATGCTATATATAAGTGAAAGATTTGTTTACGTTGTTTTTTAAATTTTTAGTATTTTATTAAATTTTTGATTTTGTAATGTAAACAATAAAGTAATTTATGACTTATGCCCTAAAAAAATATTGCTAAATATTTAAGCATTATCTCCAGCCCCCCGACTATATATTAACATAATATAAGATTTTGGGATGACCGTGATTAGTACCTATAAGAAGCCTGGATTTAACCTTGCTCCATCTTAGTATACATCTTATCAGCATAAAGTGAATGCATAATAAAATAATAAAAATTAACCTTACTTACCTCACACAACGTTTTACATTTAAACAAACCTTACCTATAACGATGTTGTTGAATTCTTCTCTTGGTGGTACTGTGAGAATTTCCCTGCTGGTTTTGTGTCTTTTATCTGAAAGTTTAGTGATGTGTGGAAAACTAAGGTAAGAATTAATTTTTAGGAAGTTAATTGTCGGAACGGTTTGATTTGTTTCTGTCAATAAAATCAATCAATTAACCTAAATTTTAAATGACCTCAGGATAACATGTGACTATAATGTTTTTAGTGGCCTCGTCGATGTATTTTCTCATTTTTTGATTTCCACTAGTATTTTTCAATAAATCAAATGTAATATTTTTTTAAATTAGGTAAAAATAAAAAGAATAAACATAAAGTGACATAGTATTTAATTTTCAAAATAGAAAACCTCAATATATTAATTTTTTTAGTTTATTATTTGGATTGTTTACATTACAAATTTTACAATAAATAATAATGATGTTGAAATAATTGGTGGTGGTTTTAAAAATGTGGCCAATATTGCTAGGTACTTTTTGTTGAATGCAATACCTACAATGAATATTTTTATTTTTTTTTTTTTAATTTTTGATAGTCTAATTTCAACAGTCTCTATAACAGTTATTACTAAAATAAATAACGAATTATTTCAAGTGATTTAAATGTTTATATTCTTTATAAAACTGGGCCAATATTTAAAAAAAAAACATAATTTTAAAATTAGTATTATTATAATAGATTAAATCTTGTTGAATCATTTAAAATTCTGTTGATTAATGTTTCGGCATAAATTGATGAAACATTTGTATAATTAAGATAGATCAGTAGCATAATTCACAGATTTCAACATCTGCGCTAGGAAGCTACCCCGTTGAACATTTTAAATAAATAATAAATAAATAAAGTCTTTATTGTCCAACGGAGAATCTCCATTTACAAGACAATATGAATTAGAATACATACATGTTAGTATAATACAGTTATACATTAAAGATATAGACATAATCAATACCATACAGTTAGCAAACAGTATTTGAGTTACAAAAATATATATATACATAAGGGAAAAAACAGAAGAAGAAATCATGAACATTATTTCGTTCACATTATATTATATTACAGCAACAACTAGAATATCAGAAAATTATACAAAAAAATCGAAGTTAAAGAGTTATTGTAAAAGTAAATTTAAATAAAAATATTGACTGAATTTATCTAAAATTAGTGTTAGTGAATCATTGTTAATATCGCATAAGTTTGCCACATGATTAAAGTTGTTGCACATTCTATGAAGTGGGGAGTTAGAAAGAATATTAGTTCTCGCATTGTCTGAGTAAAACGTTGTAATACTTCTAGAGTTGATTCTAGGAACGTGAAAATCCACTTGATAAAGAAGATTTGAGGAATCGATAGAATTTTGTACTAATTTATAGAGAAACGTCAGCCCTACATGTATTCTTCTTAGTTGTAAGAAATAGACATTGAAACGATGTACCAAAATAGATTGGGTAATACCTCTTGCAGGATAAATTCCGTCAAGCCTGCTAGATAAGAATTTAAGAAACTTGCGTTGAACTTTTTCCAATGAATTTATATGCACTTGATAATGCGGATCACAAACAATCGATGAGTATTCAAGTTTTGATCTTATGAGCGCAAAAAGGCGTTTTTAGAGCATATTTCATTAGAAAAAGTTCTACAATTTCTTATAATAAATCCTAAGACTTTAGAAGACTGAGAAACTATATTATATTAATATGTTCTACAAATTGCAAACTAGAATCAAATGTGACTCCAAGATCTCGCATCTGCGTAACCCTTGATAAAGATATGTTATTTATTTGATAATCATGCAAAACCGGATGGAGTTTGCGACCATAAGTACAAATTTTACATTTATCCAAATTTAGGAAGAATTTGCTACTTGTACACCAATTAGAGATTTTATTGAATTCTTCTTGTAGAAATAAATAGTGTAATTGAGAAGTCACATTTGGGTAAATTTTAAAATCATCAGCAAATAATAAATGTTTACACTCTAATGATGTGAAGAGATCATTGATAAATAATAAAAACAACAAGGGTCCCAAATTAGATCCTTGGGGAACACCTAATATAGGGCAATATATTCTAGAATAGTAACTGTTGTAAGCAACAAATTTTCCTCTGTTGTGTAGATATGATTTTATTAATGTAAAACCAGAATTATTTAATTTATGAATTAATGTTTGGTGGTCAATCCTGTCAAAAGCCTTGGAGAAATCAATGTATAGGATATCAACCTGTTGTTTATTTTCCACAGTTTCAGCTATATACTGAGTAATTTCTACAAGATTCGAAGTGGTAGATCTCTGTCGCATAAAACCGTGCTGATTGGTTGAAATAAGACAATTTATTTGAGCATAAATCAGGTTATACACTGATGTCTCCAAAATCATGGCAAAATTATTCAAAATGGATATGGGACGATAATTTTTTATATTCGTAATATCACCATTTTTGAACACATGACCCACTCTAGCTACTTTCCACACATCAGGAAATACAGACTTTTGGACAATTAGATTAAAAATTTTAAATAAAGGTCTTACAAGCACATTAGCACAATCTTTTAAAATAAAACTAGGAATTTTGTCACTTCCAGTTGTGAATTTATTTGAAAGTTTATTGATTGCCTTTAAAATGTGGTCTTAAGAAATGTGTGAAATGTTACAGCATGGAATATTATTTACTTCGGAATTGTTAGCGATAAATTGTGTTGGAATATAGACACCTTTAAAGTAGTTTGCGAAACCTTCAACAATAGAACTTGACGTAGTAAAAACATTTTCATTGCAAAATACCTTTCCAGGAATTCTCGTGTTACCTTTTTTTTTTTGAATGTAAGACCAGAAATTTTCTGGATTAGTAATGATACTATTTTCAACAGAGTTTAGATAGTTTTTATAAGTTTCTTGCACTTAAGCTCTAATTAATCTCCTCAGTCTGGAAAATTCGTCATAGTAGTAGTGAGATTTAGTTTTTAAAAACCGTTTGTGATAAAACTCTTTAATCTTAATATTCTGAATTATGTTTGGAGTGTACGTCTAAAATATAGTAAATTTTTTGATAGAATACCTCACACATTTCATATACATCCTCAATAATATCTAAAAATGACCAGTCCACATATGACAGGGCATTGTAGATACCAGAGAAAAACGCTTTTTTGAAATTATACATTTGAGAATCAGCTGTTTAGCTCGTTTGTAAGGGTTTTTAATTATCTGTTCAATAGTTTAAAAAAGATTAAATTTCCTTCATTACTTAAATAAATTTAAAATTTGAAATAAAATAAACAGACAAAACAACACGACACTGGTACTGGTAGATAGTTAAGTAAAAAATTTCATTTTTGAAGTTTATTTCAAATTTTAAATTGAGTTAACTCAAAAAGTAATAAAGCAAATTTAGACTTATTTAAACTGCTAAATAGAGAATAATAAATAATAGTTTTTCCTACGACCACTTAGGACCACTTAGGTAAGTATCACATTATATAGTCCTATGGAAGGTGCTCTATATCACACGCGTATGAATAAGAATTTACTTTCCACCCGTGTGCGAATATGCTACTTTCCTCATCAGCTGTCACAAAATGTCAAACGCATCATTTCTATTTTGATCTATGTAATGTCCATATTAATACTAAAATCGATATGATTGTTAAATTATTGGAATTGTAAATTAGATCCTAGATATTTATCTTTAACAATTATTATTAAAATAATTTTAAAATAACTAAGTTATGTTTGCTTTTTATTCTGGTTAAACAGTTTGTTTTTTTGTTTCTTTTTATTTTTTTTTTATTTTTGTTTCGAAAAATGTGAAAATTGAATAAATACAATTATTGTTGATTATTTTTTTAAATACATTTTAATTATTATAATAATAACCTGGTTTTACATTTTTTGATGAAATTATTTTGTGGTCGTAGGAAAAGTATTGTACATCACTTGTGTGAACAGTGATTTTCCACACTCGTAATGTAATATATTACCTCTTAACTCCCTATTTTAATTCAGCTTTTTTTCAGAATCAATAGGCTTCATCTCCTTATAGATCTTGGTTTTTCCTGAAAATTATAAGTTTTTGTTTCATGATTTTTAAGTTTTAACCCCTCTCCCCCTTCTCTCCTCTATGTTTAATAGGATTTTTCAAAATTAACAAGCTTCGTCCCCTTATAGAGCTTGATTTTTAATATAAAATATTTAATATAATATGCTGATATCGCTTTTCGTTGTTGAATTATGGTTTTTTATTTAAATTTTAACCCCCTTCCCTTTAACCCCTCCATTTTAATTCATATATTTTTTAAATCAATAAACTTTGTTCCTTTGTAAAGCTTTATTATTTCCCAAAAATTTTAAGTTGATATTGTTTATAGTTTTTGTTTTATGATTTTTTTAAAGTTTTAACCCTCTTAACCCCTTTATTTTTACTCAGATTTTTTTAAATTAAGAGGCTTCGTCCCATTGCAGAGCTTGATTTTTCCTAAAAATTTCAAGTTGGTATTGTTTTCTGTTTTTGATTTATGATTCCTTTTTAAATTTTAAGCCCCCTTAATTCCTACTTTTTAATCAGATTTTTTTTACATTTAATAGGCTACGTCCTATTGCAGAACTTTTTTTTCCTGAAAACTTCAAGTTGATATTGTATTTCGTTTTTATTTTATGATATTGTTTAAAGTTTTAATCCCCCTTAACCCTTCCATTTTTAATCAGATATTTTTCAAAACCAATAGGCTTCGTACCCTTATAAAGATTGATTTTTCCTGAAAATTTTAAAGTCATATCATTTTTCGTTTTTGACTTATTGTGCGGACAAAAAACGTGACATCGGACGGACAGACATTTTTAAAGTTGTTTAAAATTTGATGAAAAGGATTTTGATACAAAACTTTTTAAATTTGGATAAATATTACAAATTTTGGTTTCTTGGTTACTGTGTGAATAGTATAAGAAAATGTATTTAAAATAATTAAATAAACAACAATAAGTGTATTTTTTAAATCTCATATTTTTCCAAAAGGAAAACTAAAAATTGTTTCTATCGGCAATTAAAAGCGCATCGTTACATAGTCGCGGCATACAAAATTGTTAAAGT